AGGTACCGCTGGCACCTGTCAGAATACAATGCAAACAGCGGCGATTCCTCAATTGATACACTGTGTTGATGAAGGAATCGCATCAATTTCTTTTGTTCAGCCCGTGGGTTGAACAAGAGAAATTGACAGCCGTATGGCCAGCTTTAGTTTATCTGGCCCACTGTGCATAGGGAAAGGGCTATTGGGAGATGTAGTTCTGGGGGTCTGTTTTCATCAATAGGATCCGACTTCTCAGCAGTGACACCTGTAAGAAGTTTACAAGTCTGGTGATTATTCAACAGGCATTAATAAAAGCTGTTTCGTGCTACAGGAACCAAGTCAAAGCCATAATGAACATTGATTCTTGGGTGAGCCTTAAAGGGGCTCTGTCACTTAGCTCTGAATGATAAAGAACAGTCCCAAAAAGAAAACTGAAACAGTCCCAAAAAGAAAGACTTCCGACAACCAAGATAAATAAAAAACAATAAAACTTTATTAATACTCTTGAGGAATGTTTTGTGAATTACAAAGTTGTGTTGGTCTGTTTGTGTATGACATGAGGAAAGGGATGACGGAAACACAGGAAACACAGATAACATCAGCTACATGGCTCCACACGCGTGTGTTGAAGGGCAGTGCATGGATGTGACATGGTCTGGCATCCTGGTCCACAATACTGTTTATGGGTTTAGCGATAAAGATTCTTGTAGTTATACAATACAAAGTTATAAGATGTAGAGCTAAAACCAGCTCACTAGGGTGGCCAAATCAGTTGGCCACTTTGGCTAATGCTAGAATTTCCAGGAAGCCTGGGAGTCCTGTTTATTAGCCCGTTACTTGTTAATGCTCGTCTATTAACAGGCACCTCAAAGTGTCACTGGTACACGGGTTAGACACATGGGAAAACATAAACTATACTACCAAGAGGTCCAAGAGGTAATGGTCCTTGGGAGGAACAAGTTGGGGGGCAGGGCAGCATTTGCCCACTGGACCGGTACTAAGAAGATTAAATGGGCTGGTGGCCTTACGTAAAGATACTTCACCACTTAGCCATCAATCGGCATGAGATCCTTTGCAGCTCTGATATGCCATGCAAACAAATGCTGAGAGCCATAAAGGAAGCTTATGCTGGAAGAAGGTGTCACAATCACCCAACTAACTTTAGTAACACCCACCTTGCCCCATGCCAACCAATCAATCCGCCACCATTGCGTACTATCATTAAGATGCAGAAATCTGTTCCTCCTTGGTACAAAAAAATGGCTAGTTGGGTGTGTTTGTCCCCCCCCAAGGCCAAAGGCTTTCAGTCCTTGCTTTGGAACGTTCTCAGGAGGGTCGTTCCTAGTGGTAGTAAACTAAGACCTTTACCTACTTTCTGCTACTCTACCAGCTGGCACACATGACTGTCAGAATATCCAAAGAGAGACTGAATTTGATTGGCCAACAATTTTCCTCCTTCTTTGTTGTGCCAGGTGGTGCCAGCAAGGCCACCCATGAATCTGATTTCAGCCGATTCAACAGGAAATGGACAAAATTCTATCTTTTTGTGTCTTTTCTCACATAACTTATTGGTTGTTAAAGAGTCTTACACATTTTTTTCATTTTCATTTTGATTTCCTTCCTGGGTATATTTCAATGGCGACACCATTACAAGAACAATAAAATAATTGACAAGTAGACAGTAACATGAAATGACTACAAATAACTATTTTTCTTTGACCACACTGAAGGCCCACATAGCTGTCTGATTATAATTGCAACAAGTAAAGATCAAACAGGTAGAAAAAGAGGAGCATGCTACTGCTAATTAAGTTTTACAAATGTAGGTTAAAAAAAATCGATATTCCATTGCACAGCAGTAACCATATTAGGTCGTGTTGTGGGAAAAACATGACCAATACCAGAGGATGAAAATGAGGTGTACTTTACTTCTGTGGATCAGTGGCATAATATCATGTCATATTCTTTGGAAAGTTAACCAAGAGCACCTGAGGAAGGGCAATCAATAAAATAATCCCATATAATGGACTTATAGTTGTGGGCTATTCTTTTTGTTTTATACGTAGCTCACAGTTTAGAGCTTCTAAGTACCCATATGAATGTTCATTGCAAGCTAATGAATGCAACAAAGAACATTGAAGTAACTGAGTTCAGTATAAAAGTTAACAAAGAAACCAACCACTCAAGAAAATGAGATGTGGTTCCATTACCATTACCAGAACAGACCTTTCTGTGTGACATGAGTGGCACATCACAGTTTATAAGTTCATGTGTTGAGCCCTAAGGCAGCACCAGTATTAGGTAAACCTCAATCTAGGACCTACCTTGTAAAAAGAATTAGTTTTTTGATCCTACTGTGTATCTGAGACTGCTACTAGAGTATTATCTTATCTGTGAGCTGATTATAAGCTTCTGTGTGGAAACCATAACGGCATTTGCAATTTGGTCGACGGACCAGAATGTTAAAAGCCAACTTCTGCTGAAACTTTGTAGCTGTCAGGTTGTCATTGCTTTTTGTTTAAAGTCCATCACGCACTGACACCTGACCGGCTGTGTGTAAGTAAAGAGTTCCAGGGCAAAAAACTAAAGTCCAAAAATGCCCAGAGATCATTTTCAAGGTCTTTTACAAAGTATAAATAGAAAAGGAAAAGACAGCATTCCATTGACATTTTGAGGATACCCAGGTACCCTTTATCAAGGTGAGAGATACACAATTGAATGAATGTGTATATGTTTCACGTACCTAAAAAGTATGAGCCCCATAGGAGATTACAAGTGTGAGGGGCAGATATGTCATGGTTTCCAGTTAGTCGAATGCAGTTCGGGTCTCTTGAGCTAGAATACACACTTGATTCCCCATTCAATACTTCTGTCCATTCTGAGTATGCAACTCATACCATTTTGTTAAGAAAAAAGGTATGGGACCCCTATTCAAAGCAAAAACATGATGAGCCCCATATTCAAAGCAAAAAGGTATGAGCCCCATATTCAAAGCAAAACGGTATGAGCCCCATACTCAAAGCAACAAAGTATGAGCCCCATACTCAGAGCAAAAAGGTATGAGCCCCATACTCAAAGCAACAAGGTATGAGCCCCATACTCAAAGCAAAAAGGTATGAGCCCCATATTCAAAGCACAAATATATAAGCCCCATACTCAAAGCAAAAAGGTGTGAGCCACATACTGAAAGCACAAAGATATGATCCCTATACTCAAAGCACAAAGGTATGAGCCCCATACTCAAAGCAAAAAGATATAAGCCCCATACTCAAAGCAAAAAGATATGAGCCCCATACTCAAAGCAAAAAGAAATGAGCCCCCATACACAAGTGCTTTGTTGCACTTCGCTTTAGTTCATAGGGTGGGTCCCGCTTGGACCTTGCTGTGCCACATATTTATGTTACTCGCTTTGCACAGTGCATCTGTCACCCTGATAAAGGGAACTGCGTGTTCCAGAAATGTCAGCAGAATTATGTTTTTTCTTTTTTATGTGTAAAGTAAAATGAGCTTAAAGGATCTCTTTCAGATGTGCTGGCCATCGTTGGGCTGAAAGTGCATTTCCACTCTTGCAGCCAAATAGAATAACACCTGCTTTATATCTGTCACATGTTCCTGTTCACATAGCTAAACATAAAAATATTAAGTAATTGCGGCTTACCTTGTTTTTTGCTGAAAAGTCCCATACAAATCCTAGCTAGCTATGTAATGTTAAGGAAGGGGAGGGGCAGTAATGCTTACCATAGTTAACCCTGTCTGTACTGTGCTGGAAGATGTCATTATCATTTGTAAACCAAATGGGAACACTGTCTGTCCTAACAAAGGGTTAAAGAATTAGAAGCATTGTATATTATTGTGAGGAAACTCGAGGTGTCCCCAGTAACTATGAAAATCTTCAGAGTAGCTTGCATGCCCAAAGGCCTGCTCCAAATCTAGGTAAATCAAAGGTAAGACATACTTTAAAAAAAATAATTTTTAGGTATCCTGTGTGAATCGGAACACATTCACATATAGAGGGGTTTACTTACATGTGACTGCAAAAGTGTAAATACTATGGATGCACCAATACCGATACTAGTATCGGTACTGGTGCCGATGCCGAGTATTTGGGCGAGTACTCGCTCAAATGCTCTGATGCCTAGCCCGATACCCAAGCTTCCGGTATCAGGAAGCTGGGCAGCGAGTCATTACACGCTGCCAGCTTCCCGGCCAATCAGGAATCTGGGCAGCGTGTAATGACACGCTGCCTGGTTCCCTGATTGGCCGGGAAGCTGGCTTCATGCTCCCTCGTCACGAGGGAGCATGGAGCCGGCTTCCCGGCCAATCAGGAAGCCGGGCGCCGTTTAATGACGCGGTGCCCGGCTTCTTGATTGGCCAGAAAGCTGGCTCCCTCCTTTCTCATCATCTAGTGACGAAAAGCATGGAGACGACTTCCCTGCTAATGGGGAAGCCGGGTGGCGAGTCTGGCTTCCTTAATGGGACTTCCAGTATCGGTATAAGGTATTGGCGAGTACCAAAAAAAAAAAATATTGGTACCCGTACACGATACCGAAAAACCGGTATAGGTGTATCCCTAGTAAATGCACTTTAAATCTATTCTTGCTGTATGTGTCCTCATTGGTGAAACTTCCATTTCACTTCCTCTCTTCTAACCAGAACAAAAGATGAGGAAATGTGCCTTCAACAGAAACACAGCAAGACACATTTGTAGTACAGTTTGGGATGATTAGAACTGCTGTCTATTTTCCCATTATAGGGATTTCCCTCACCTCCTCCTCGGATGTCACCAGAACAGGAAGTAAGGAAATTCTGACAGAGGTTCTAACCCGTCCCTATTCTGAAACTAAAAAGCTTTAGTTTAATTTTTTTAAAGAAGCTGAATATATCCTGATTGTCTCTTGAAACAGTGCAAGCTGTTCCCCAACAACCATTCTCACGGTGCATTTGACAGAATTTCTTGCATTCTTTTGATGAGCTACTTTTAATGCCGGGAGGCTCGGGACGTCAGCTGTTAAGGTGGACTTGATGCCAATGCATCATTGATTGGGTTTATATGAATTCATCTGTTTACAGACACAACAGCAGCTGTAGGAAAACCCTTTAACTTTGGTAAAACAACAAGAGGCGTAGTCCTAGATACAGAAAGCAGCCGGTGCGAATAATTAAATGGAAGATATTAAACCTATTCTCCAATAATTCTTTGTACTTAAATACTTGACATGTAAGAAAATACTTACGTTAACATTGCATAATATTAATATTTTCTTTCATATGCTATAAATGTGTCTACTGGCTCTTAAAGTCCAATTACGTTAGAGGCTTATGAATGGATTGTCAACAGTAGAAGATAAAAACAGAACAAGAAGTTGTGTGCCGAGTCTGGGGGGGTGATGATGGTGTGACGCTTCACGATTTCATCTCTTTCCTCCTTTCCGCAGCCCGGGGAACCACTTTTCTGATATGGTTCTTGGAGTTCAGATTTCTGGAAGGTATCTTTTCCTTGGAGCTTGAGGACCTTTCTTTCTTCAGCTGAAAGTTGAGCTGTGAGAAAATACAGATAAGCATATATATACAATAACAGTAGGTTTGTATATTTTATTATGTTCGGCACTAAAAGGTACATTTGAACAAATGGAATGGATGGAATGTTCTTGCATATTTTCTTCATAGGTTGAATGTATTTTTTTCAAATGTCATCTTGTAATACCGCATTGTGGCCACTAGATGGAGCTTATTTCCTATGCTCTTCAGCTCCATTTAGTGGCCACAATGTGAAATCACAAGATGACATTCGAAAAAACATTTGAAGAAGAAAATATACAAGAACTTTCCATTTGTGTATCCATTTACAGAGAACAATCATTCACATAGATTTGCAGGGCCAATAGCTCTGTCAACTGTTTATAAATGGAACCCTATGTATGTACAAAAAAATATTCCCACGCTTAAGAAAAACCTATAATACAAAAATCTAAAACAATTTGTATTATTGACTTTTAACAAAAACCAATGACAAGAGAAAGTGAGAAGCTCCTGGTTAGCTGGGTCATTAGAGAGTTCACAATGCTCTGCAAAAAACTGCCATGGAAGTGCCATGTGTGCAAAATTCATTTGTAAAAGAAAAACATTTTGGAAAAGATCAGTGTATCAGCTTATAGGCAAGTAAAAAAAATAATGTTGACCAATAACCATTATACAGTAGAGTTCCTTTACAAGTAGAATTTTCAGAAGGTCGCCAATGACAGCCCCTATTTCACTGGTTAGGGATGTGAGCAGGTGACGTGCTGGATGCCAGGCTCATTGAATATTGTAGGCAGCCCTCTGGTGTCCACTAGAGCCTTGACAGGACCCTCGGGGTCTATATAGTACAAGAAAGAGAGCTCCAAGCTGTGGTGGTCAGTCCGAGTGTTATTCCCCATTTGTCACAATAAAAGTTTCTTAATCAGAACAGCATTTCAGGGGTTTGTATGAAGATCTACCTTCATCAGGGCTTTAAAATATTATACTAAAGGAATGTGGATGAGTGGTTGGTGTCCTTGGGCTAAGAACCAGAGACCAGGGCAAGTTTTGACCCTTGAGGGCAGGAGATCATCATATAAATCAGGAGTGGGCAATTCATTTTATCAGGGGGCCACATTGAAAACTTAGATGGCTACGGAGGGCCAAGCAAATTAACGCACTGGTCCACTGCGATACATTGTGGCAAATGTGTTGCATTGTCATTCATTTGAATGGCACCCCAAATGCACCTTCTGACCGCAATGCAATCGACTGCACTGCAACATTACAGTGCGGCAGTGCGTGCGACACACCTGCCGCACTGTAATGAACAGTAGGTGCGTTAGTCGCTGATGGGCGGGAAACTATACATGCAACCCCCCTACTCCACTTGTACTGCTTTAATCCTCTTTCTTTGTTAAAGTTCACGTGCGAAGCTGCAGAAGAGGAGATGGAGGAGGACCCCTGATGTCATTGGGTGCTAGGACACCAGCGGTCCTAGCAACCAAAGACCAAAGAGAAACGTGGTTTCAAACACAGACTGATCGCTGACCTGCACTGGGCTATGTCTTGCAGTGAATGCAACAGTCTTGGAGGCCGGTGAATCCACTGTAAGCCAACCATAACAGAGCGCAGATGGGCAGGCTGGACAGCCACAGACCAAGGGTCAGATACAGCCCTCTGACTGTAAAATGCCCAAGTCTGATTTTTTTTTCCAAATCTTTTTATTAATTTTAATTCACGGTTAACAAAATCATAACAAAACCAATTCCACAATACAATACTCTTCCATCTGCTCTGATATAAAATTTACTAGTGCATATTCAGAGGTCCCAACAGCTCTGCCATTAGCAGCTATTGGAAATATATTGGTCTGAGGTATTGTTTATTACATGTGAATGACGTCTTTGTAACCTACCTCTGTAGGTGCACTTGGACCAACGGTAACCGTCGCAGTCTTTGAATGGTATCCGTCTGCTGAAACTGTCACTGTATACGTGCCCGGTAACAACAGGCGAAAATAATCTCCCCCTTCACCTGCCGGGAGAAAAAATGATTTAATAATACGTGAATATTTTAAGGAGGAAACCACATTAAAAGTATATTTCAGTGTTTGGTAGATTCCTTCTATCTTTAGCGGACTTTATTGGGGATCTCTGCGCTAGATTCTCAGGTCTGCACACTCGCTGTGCCCATTTTCCGGGGCCCCATTCTTCCTGTTAGATGTTTGATTAAACTATATTATGTATGAAGTATCCTGAAACAGATTTAGGATACAAAGTTCCCCATTGTTCACTAAATTCTATGTTTTTGACTATCCATTGCAAGTTGTTGACCCATATTGCCTTTAACCTGTACTTTAGACTGTACTTGTCAGCTTGTTGATCTGTTATCTTTGTTTTTTTATACAGTTGTCTTATGTTATGACTCTACAGGGCAACCTTGTGTGTTTTCATGTATAAAAACCTCAATAAAAACATGTAAAAGAGAAAAATATATAATATTATGGAGAACATAACAGGAGGAGCTAGATATACAAAGGTGGGGGTGGGGGCATCCTGAGGGTACCGGGTGACACCTGGCCATGATGTCGCCACGTGCGTGCGCAATGACGTCATCGCACATGCACCGCCATTTTGGTAATACCTGTCGGCGGTCATCTTGATGATGGATCCCAGCAGAGAGAGGAGGCGAAGTTCATTTGGTGGGATAAGGTATGCCGCCGGGTCCCCTCCTCTCTCCTGTGACTGGCGGGCTCTTAGTCCATGACCGAGTGCCCGACTTTTCAGAGGAGGTAACACCAAAATGACTGTCAGTCATTTTGGTGTCACCCCTCCAAGGGTGTTAACGGGGTGCGGGCCGCATCCCCCTAGTGATGCCACTGGGGGGGTACCCAAAACTCCCAGATGGACAGAAACAGAGTCTGGAGCTATGGTAGGGAGATCTTACTAATGGAGTATCCTAGACATAGAAGCCAGGGGCTGCCTCTATTCGCCAAGCTCCAAATATAGCTAATATATAATATTTTGGCCAACTGGCCCATTATTATTTACTCCATTAACTAAAACAAAGCAAAGCATATAACTACATCCCCTATAATTTTCCCCCTGTTAAAGCAAGTTAAACCAAGCATATATATATAATTAATTTTCTATGGGTTAAACTCAATGGACTCGTGTCTTTTCTTTTACTGTAACTATGAACGATACAAGCAAAGTAAATACTACTTACCAGAGAATATGTTATGGTTGATACCGCCCACTAAGACGAGAGCATTGGCTATACCGTTATTATTTTCATCGGTCACCAGACCTTTAATGCCTTGGTGCACCTAGACAGAAACCAGAGACAAGTGAAGTAATGCAGAGTATGGTTTGTTCAATGAGGTCAGTTTTACAAGCTTCAGACAGTTCTATGAACCGCGGCTTATAACGTCACAAATAATAACGACGGAGGTGAACTCTACAATCTGGTGATGCTGGAAATATCCTCCTGCATCTCATGAGTAATGACTAATCGTTGCCAGTGCACATCATCTGAGTTCTCTGTATCCAACTTATACTTTGTTTAACACTTCTTATTATGTTTTCTTTTTAGATAAATGCTACTACATGGAAAAGTGCACAGACTGCAGACCCCAGCCATCGACATAAAGTAAACTCAAGCACTATAATATCATATAAGCTTTAACATGTTAATGTCATTTCGAAACGTTGTGTTTATTCTTTTAAAATCTGCTTCTTTCGTTAAAATATTACCTGGTGATCCTGCCATGGATTCGGGCACTTCCTGTTATAGGCTGACAACTGTCACCCGACAGTGCTCCTACGTTGTCACCTTGACACACTAGGGTTGATTTACTAAAGCAAATAGGCTGTTGACCTTGCAAGGCAATGTGCACTTTGCAGGGCAAGTTTTCCCTTAGTTTAGTGCAAGTGGTGGAATTTCAGTTTGCAAAGAATACCCAATTATCTGCAAGGAAAAAATAAATAAATATATATA